GGACGGTCTTGGGCGGGGGGAAAAAATGGACACATATGTAATATCCTTTGTAATAAATAATAAAATTTAAAAAAAAAAAAATAAAAACCTACTCAGTGCTAAGCAATGTTTTGGCTACTGAGGAACCAGCAGTTTCCAAGTACAAGTTTGCTACTTTTGAAAAGCTGTTATTCTAGGGAGTACTGTACTTTTTGCCTTTATGTCGACAAAGAAACAGGGGTACTAATGGGCTGATTTATATGAGTGTTACCTTCTGAGCTTTCTCCGAAAAGTCTGTGGTGTCTTAGCCCCTAAGAACTCTATCTTTGAGAATCATTATCCAGGGTGAGACACTTAAGTATGAGGTCACCAATGTAGATGATTTGTATTCTTGAGTAGTAGCATTTTGAGTTGTGTTCTTCTGCTGAAAGGAAAAACAGATGGATCTCTAAAAGATAGGTTTAATTGAAAATATTAGTATATAGCTATAATCTCAGGTATTGATGTTGAATATAGAATACATACTATTACAATACTTTATTTTTATTCAATTTATTGGAGTTACATTGTTTAATGAGATATGTAGGCTTCATGTGTACAATTCTATAACATATCATCTGTGTATTATATTGTGTGTTCACACCTCAAGTCTCCTTCCATCACCATTTTTCCCTCTTTCACCCTCTCCTACCTCCCTCCATCCTCCTTTCCCTCCCTCTGCCACCATACTATTCTCTGTCTATGAGTTTTTCTTTTACTTTCTGCTTAATTCCTTCACCTTTACTATACTAATACTTTAAAAAGTGATTTGTAAATATGCTTTAATTTCGTTTCTTCAGCATTTTTGAATATTAAGTGAAAACATGAATCTGAAATTAATTCAAAGTTACTATTCTTTCTTTAATATCATGGTTAGATTATTTATGAGAAAATTATAGTGAAGTTACCTATGTATTACAACTGGAAAACAATATGGATATTATTCTTCCATAGCAATTTAATAGCCTCTCAGTATATTTCAAATTATATTCCATATACTATTTTCAACTTGTATTGCTACTGAGCTATATCATTTATATTGTAAAGCAACAGGCTAATTGGCCAAGCTTATAATAATAGTAATAATCGCAAATAATGTTTTTTGAGGGTGCCAGCTATGTGCTCAGAGCATCACTGGATTAGCTCATTAATCATCAGAGCAAGCCCATGAAATAGAGTTACCCAAGTGTACAATTCCAATAATACAAATTTTCTCATTTTTCACATGAGAAAACTAAAGCAGAGAGGGGTTACGCAACACATTCAGGATCACATAGCTAATAAGTGGTGGATGTGGATTCAAGCCCCCAAATACACTATAATGCCCTCCTAGTAAAATGGGATTTGCTACCTAGGCATGTCATACTGTACTTCCCTGACCATTTCGAACACTATTTTTTGCTGTAATTTCATCTAATTAAATCCTTAGTAGGTACATAATCCTGCCATCTCAATAGTAAATTTTATGGATGCTAACATCGTAGAGACGATGGGTAGTGACTGTCTTTTTTTTCCTGCCCCAAAGCCTTACCCAAACCTCCAGGAACTCCTGTAGTGACCGAGAGCACAGCCACAAGCATCACACTGACATGGGACTCTGGGAACCCTGAGCCTGTCTCCTACTACATCATCCAGCATAAACCTAAAAATTCTGAGGAATCTTACAAAGAAATCGATGGAGTGGCGACCACACGCTACAGTGTCGCTGGACTCAGTCCCTACTCGGATTATGAATTCAGGGTCGTTGCTGTCAATAACATTGGGCGGGGGCCTCCCAGCGAGCCCGTGCTGACACAGACCTCAGAGCAGGCGCCGTCCAGCGCCCCGCGGGATGTGCAGGCGCGGATGTTGAGCTCAACCACCATCCTGGTGCAGTGGAAGGAACCGGAGGAGCCGAACGGACAAATCCAAGGATACAGAGTGTATTATACCATGGATCCCACTCAGCACGTCAACAACTGGATGAAGCACAATGTCGCTGACAGCCAAATCACTACTATTGGCAACTTAGTGCCCCAGAAAACCTATTCTGTCAAAGTCCTGGCTTTTACCTCAATTGGAGATGGTCCCCTTTCAAGTGACATACAAGTCATCACTCAGACAGGAGGTAAGTCTCATCTGGAGGGGGAGCAGGGCAGGAGCGGGGAGTTGATGCTCACAGGTGGGAAGGGCATAAACAACAAAGATATTATAAATTTTCATTTTTGAGGCTGTAGCAGGATGCATATGGCACCCTGTGCTTTTCATTTGTCCCCAAATAACTTGTAGGCTTTTCTGCATGCAATGGATGAATGTGTCCTCCATGCAGCGTTTTGAAAAGAAAGGAACAATTCTTTTTTATCTTCTGAGAGAAGAGTCTCAAAAATTATTAAGTTTTTGGAAGATTGGATGGCTCAACATAAAGTTAAAAGTAAAACCATTTGTCAGGGGGCCTAGGATATGTAAAGGGCTTAAATTTGCCAGGAGCTCCTTGCTTAACAATAAATATTCTCCTAATGGATTTTTCTTTGCATGGCCTCAGGGGTGACAGAAGACAGTTACCAAGATCTAAGATCAAACTTTAGGGCCTGCTTCATCCATTCTACTGGGCATTACAGCAGATGCCAAACTGTTTTATGAAGAAAAAAGTTGGCCCTGCCATAGTTTTATTTTCATAAGAGGATAGCAAAATCTCTGGTCTTTGGCTTGAAGTGATCAGTTATGACTTGGGTTGGGAAAATAACATAGCAGCTCTATTCTCAAGTTTATTCTTGGGCATCTGATAGCTGTTCATTTGACTCCTTTGCACTCTGACTCCTCTAAAACCTGCATTAACATAGGAGTGTTTTGGCAGCATCCCACTGGTTTGTTCTGATAATCTACATAAGACCAGTATTATTGGAGTTAGTATCTGTGATCTAGAGGTATGGAACTTACTGGTAATTTGGGAATGAATTAGTGAATTTTCTCAGGTATCAGAACTCGATAAATCTGTTTGATCACTGACTTGTTTGTATGTTGTGAGTTTTGTGAATCACATGACAACTATATTCACCATTTGCCCTGGCTACTATACATCTCAGAACACATTTACAGCCTACCAGGCTTTTTTATATTTTCATACCATCATTTGGTTCTTCCTGGCTTGCTCATGGATTTATTACTTTCTCAAATGGTATGAAAGATAACTATTTGAATATCTTTTACCACAATTACACTAAAAACCATATTTTTTTCCTACTTGGCCTTTGCAGTTCTCCTGTATCTATTTGCTGTATTATGCAAAAAAAATATTCTAGATTTTTTTCATATATTTTGTTTTTCATAATGTTTCTCATTGGAAAATAGAGAAATTTATGAATCTTGTCCTTTTTCTTGTTTGAAAGAGGTCAACTGTTATAAGATAATTTTTTATAAAACTATTATACTGTTTAGCAGCTCCTTGACCATTAAAAGGTATAAGAAAGTATATGAGAAAAATATATCCCTATAATCCACTTTTACTTTTTCTGATTTTTCAGCTTTTATTTTAAAAATTCCTGGTTTTAGAATGACATAATCAGGGTTTGAATCTCAGTCTATGATTCTTAGTTCTGTGACCTTGGATGGATTACTTCATCTCTCTGAACCTTAGTTTTCTCATCTAAAGTTTTTCTCATCTAAAGTAATGACCACCTCATAGAGATTAGGGATTTTATCCATTTTCTTGGGTTTCTGACACAAAATACCACACGGTGGTGGACTTAAAAAACAGGAGTTTAGTGCCTGTCAGTTCTAGTGGCTAAAAGGTGTCGGCAGAATTGGCTCCCTCTGAGAGCTAGGAGGGAGGTTCCAGAACTTTCCCTCGCTTTTGGTGGTTTGCTGGAAATCTTGGCTATTCTTTGGCCTGTAGAAGCATCATCCTGATCTACTCCTTCATTGTCACATGTCATTCTTTCTATGTGCATGTCTCTTATATCCAGATTTTCCTTCTTTATGAGGATACCAGTCATAATGGATTATGGCCAAACTTGATTTTAACTAACTCTACCACAACCCTGTTTCCAAATAAAGTAACATTCTGAGGTTCTGGGGGTTAGGAATTCAAGGTGAATTTCTGTGGGACACATTTAAATCTATGAGCTATAGATTAGACAATGGACAGAAACATTGTTAACTTAATAAGTAATATATAATTATCATCACCATCATTGTAACAGCTAAAATATACTAGAAAATATGCTATGAACTTGTCATGTATTAATTCTTACTACCCAATTAGGCAGATGTGGAATTATCCTATTTGCCAATGAGTAAATTTGGGATCAAAGAAGATAAAAAGATTCAGTAACTTGCTTTGGGTCATAAGGTTAGTAAATGGCAAAGCAGAATTTAAGTCGGGGCACCCTAGATACTTCTAAGCACCATTATATGTCCAATTAATAATTTGCTAATGTGATAGTTTTAGTGCCTCTTAGATTTTTTTGTCCACAAGGAGCAATAAATGAATTGTGGCAGGAAATGCACTGTGTCATTTACTCACATTTGTATTTTAGGATTATATATAATTTACTCCTGCAATACTTGAGGTGGCTATTAGATTATCCCAGTTAAGCTATTTAGATGTGAAAAATATGTTTATCTGAAAGAAGTAGAAGGAATTCCTTTTTATAGAAGACTAGAGGCCCGGTGCACAAAAATTTGTGCACTCGGGAGTAGGGAGTCCCTCAGCCCGGCCTGTGCCCTCTTGCTGTCTGGGACCCCTCGAGGGTGACCACTTGCTGGCTTAGGCCTGCTTCCCGGGGGATTGGGCCTAAGATGGCAATCAGACATCCCTCTGGCAGCCCGGCAGCCCTCGGGGGATGTCCACTTGCC